AAAAAAAAGGTTAGTGTGTTGTCTTTAACTATTCATACACTTTTCGAGTTTACAAGAGCGGTTCTGAGGGTCCAGTCCTACTCCTTCTGCATGGAGGGGGCCATTCCGCCCTTTCCTGGGCTGTGTTCACAGTAAGTAAGTTGTTGATTATAGATCTTAGCTCAGTCATTGTTTAGTGAATGATTAGTATATGATTTGCTTTATGACTTTCATAACCCTATAACTTCCATACGATTTACTATAAGAAAGCTAGAGATTTGACAGTACCACCATACATTTAAACCGGAGGTTTTGAACTAGATGGGACTTAGTAGTTCCTAATTCTTGAAGTCTGTCAATTTGTATATATGAGCTTTGGGATGAGGGGGATGGAATTTGTGCCCTTTCACAAGTAGGGGCTTGTATCTAAGTGATCCAAATAAATACTGGGTTCTTGGAAATTAATGGAATAGGGATTATGTGATTAAGAAAGCTTGAGAAATGTGTATATAATATCCTTCCCTTCTTTGGAAACCCACCCTACGTATTGGTATATTAAGGGTGCTGAGATGTTATTCTAAATAATCTGTGTAGTTTTAATTGTATCTACAAACTATTTGGCCACCTTGTTTCTTTTTTCTAAAATGCCTATTAGCTTCTCATATTTTGGGACATTCTGTTGTAGATAAATTATTATGTTCTAGTTGTTTATTTGGTTTGCTTGTATAACCAAGGAAACTTTATTAGTTTTTAGCAGGTAATTTTTGCCTGATCATTTTTATTGGTTTGTGTTATTCTTAGCAGTTTTCTGTAGCACTGAATGATTTTATATGTGACAGTGGTTTGAAAATAAAATGTCTACGTAGAAAGTAGTTCTCTAGCCTTGAATGGACTCCAGAGTCAAGTTTCCTCAAGCACTGGACCGCGTCTGTGGATTCAAAGACCGCTCTAGCAGAGAGCGGTAATGAGCCCAAGCACCTTATTACCTCCCTCAAATCTTTGCCCAGATGACACCTCTACCAACAAGTGGAAGAGATGAGCAACTGTGATGGACATGTATGGTGACAGAGTGTGAGCTCCTTGAGAGCAGGGACTGTGTCTTACTAACTTCCTAACACTTTACATAGTGGGAGCAGAAAGTCTCGTCTTTCTCTTGCAGAGCAGCTGGTGGACTTGAATAACTGACCTTGTGGTTAGTAGTCAAACACATAACCCACTACGCCATCAGGGCTCCTTATTTATTGTACAGTAACTCTTATTTCTGGCCCCTTTTTACCATAGCAAATTGGAACTGCCTGCTATTGAGTTCCTAATAAAAGTAAAGTGATACTAGGGGAAAATTCCAAGCTCATGTAATTTGTAAGGTTCAAATATATCTTTGGATCAAAGGATGCTATGTGAAGAACAACTTGACCTAACTATTTAGTACAACACACATGACTTTAAATAAAAGTAGTTTTATTTATAAATAAAATCACTTCCTCGACATAAAGCCAGATAATACATTAAAATATCCTGATTTTTGTTTCATTTTATTTACATTTTTATTGGTACCTAATCCACATATCATACAATTCAATAGTTCAATTGTTCATATCAAGAAGAATTGTACAATTATTACCACAATCAATTTTAGAACATCCCCCTCCCCGTGACTAAATTGCCTTTAAAATGAGTTGTGTAAACACTAAAACTGATTGTTATTACTCACCTCATTTTAAATACCCTGATTTTTAATGGCCAAGCAGAATGAAGAGATATTTCTGAAACATGTTCTGTATCTCAAAAACTAGAGCAGATAGGGGAAAACTTGTATCATTTTTGGAATCAGCAGGTCAAATAATACCCATAACCAAGCCTGACATTTGAGGCACCAAAATGTGTGTAGATCAGCTTAATCATTTAGTTTTAAATATTTGTTACTGCTATAAAAGAGAAAATTCAATTAAAAAAATTTTTTTTTCAATTTAAATTTCGTACTAGGTAAAAACACTGTAACAACACTGCTTTAAACTATCCAGTTTATTTTGTGACAGTAGCATCACACTGTCATTGACAATGCAAGGAAACTATGAGCCAGTCTCAGTTATAAAGCAGGTGCAAAACTCCTAGATAAAATACTGTCAAATGGAATCCAGAGGGAGGTAAAAAGTCCATTTCATCTCTGCAGTCAGTCTCTTAGTTCATTTCTCACCTTACGTGATGCCAAAAATAGGTAATCAAATACATCACCCACGTGTGTGGAAAACGGCATAGATGAGAAATGTCCTTAATTTGATAAAGATTAAGCAAGCGTAAGTCAAAAAGTATGGCTAAAATAATAGAAACCTTTATTACATAAAAGTAGCAAAATGTGAAGCATTGTTTCAAAAATATCCTCCATCTAGCCCTATATACTTCCAAGGACAGAGGTTTTCATTTCTCTACCTTTCCTACCACAATTCTATCCTCTTTGGTTTACCCCATGTCAAAACAGCAGTTTGAGCACCCTTCAGGAACTCCGATCATGTTCCTTTTAAATATTGAGTTTGAGGAAGAAAGAAAAAAAAAGTTTGAAGCAGCAAGATCAACACTTATTGAGGGAGTTAGGCTCATTTTATTAACCAAAACTTTGAGGCTGTTGTGTATTTGTGAGGATACATATTTCTCTATACCTTCCCCCATATTTAGGATCCCTTGTGTTGCTTTGGATTAAGCATTAGGCTGCTACTTGCATGCTTAAAGGCATCAACAGCTCCACAGGAGAAAGATGGGGCTGTTTGCTTTGGTAAAGATTGGTAGTCTCAGAAACCCTAAGGGGCGGTTCTGATCTGCCCTGTAGATTGCCATGAATCAGAATCAACTTAATGTCAGTGGTTTGGTTTGATTTCACCAATATTGATGTCAGCTGCAAAATTGGACTAGTTTTCCCAACCCACTTCTCAGGAAGATAATCTGAGGTTATCTAAAATAATGTGGTGAGATAGCAGTGATCTTGGAACTTGTTAATACTAGCCATACTGTCTTCTGGTCTTATTTTCTAGGGCTAGGCTAGCTAGTGGTTTGCCTCTGTCTGTACACCTGAGGAACTCCACACTGTAGATGGCCTTGCCACTCTCCTGTATCACTTACATAAACAAGTCTAGTGAGTTAGCATGTGGGCAACTAGCTATTTGTCCCAGAGTTCCTCGGGTCGTTTGGTTATGCAAGCCGAGCTGAGAACCAGCTAGACCAGGCTGCTTATATTTGAATGCAGGCTCTGACCCTTAGTAGGTTTTTGATCCTGGACAAGTTAATTATTTTCTCTCTAAAATGGTGAAAATTTTGTCTTAGTAGTGAAGAGTTGTAAGGAAAAAGTTGAGTAGTTCATTTGACCCATTTAGATTGGTTCCTGGCTTACAGTAAAATTTTATAAATACTAGCTATTACTGCTCACCCTAAAGTGGCCTAGTGGGTTATGCACTGGGCTGTTAACTGCAAGGTCAGTTTGAAACCACCAGCTGCTCTATGGGAGAAATAGGAGGCTTTATACTTACAGCCTTGGCAACCCTCAGGGTCAGTTCTACTCTATTCTGTAGGGTCACTGAGTTGGAATCGTGATGGCAGTGAGGATTCTGAGAGGGACTGCTGTCCCTGGTACAGCTCCTGCTGAAGTTTGGCGGTTCTAGCACACTCAGAGGAGCCTCTGAAGGACAGCCTGGCAATCTATTTCTGAAAGATCACGGCTTTGGGAAACTGCGCAGTGTTACTCTGAAATGTATGGCGGTGCCATGAGTAGGAGTACGCTCCACAACTAGTTAGTTGCTACTACTGTTGTTGCAGTTATTTATTGCTCAGACCACAAATTCGGGTGAGAAAATAGATCTGTTGTATTCCTAAATAACTGATTTTCACTCAACCATGTCAGAAGTGGGAAAGTTCTACTGTTTGAGATAAGATCTGGGGTACCTTCCATCAGTATGCTCTGATATATTTTCCCCCCCACTGTCAGAACCCCAACCAGTGCCAGCTACTGGATTCCGATTCATACTGACCTTTTGGGTTTCCAAGTCTGTAAATCTTTATGGAAGGTGTGACAGCCTCAGCTTTCTCCTGTAGAGCAACTGGTGGTTTGAACTACTGACTGATCAGCAACCCCACAAGTAACCCAGGACACTACCTGCCTATAAAGCAGGCCTTAGTCTTTGGATTTATGTTCTTCATTGATTGTTTTCCAGTCTTTCTCTTTCACACGATAATGCCATCGTGAGTGTTGGCTTGACCCGTCTTTTTCACTTCCTGCGATTCCACTACTCAATGGTGCCAGATTTATAGCTTAGAAATATTTGTTGAATAAGTGAATAAAAATCCCCCAATTACCTGAGTTCCTAACAACTCTCTCTGAGTTTCTTAATACTGCTGTAACAGAAATACCACAAGTGGGTGGCTTTGAAGAACAGAAACTTAATTTCTCACAATTTAGGAGGCTGAAAGTCATAATTCAGGGTGCCAGCTCCAGGGGAAAGCGTGCTCTGTCTGCCCTGGGAAGAACCCTTGTCTGCTTCTATTCTTCGGCTCCTTGGGTTCTCATGGTGGCATGAATAGTTCCCTATTTGAGTTTGCTTGCTTCTATGTCTAATCGTTTACATCTCAAAAGTGATGTTTATAGATGAAGTAGACAATGCCCAGCCACCATTACTGAACATTTTTTATTAAAGCCCCAACAAGTAGATGCATGGGACAGAACCTCAAACCCCTACGGAATCCAGATTTACTGAAACCAGTGAAACTGGGGGAGCTCCCAAATCTGATACCTAGAAATAATATTTAAACCTTGAAGCACAACTATCCCATGAAGCCATCTTGGACTAAACAGTAATTTGGCCCAGTGAATGAAGAATGTTTTGCCCGAGCATAGGGCTATTATAAAGAATTGTTTTGAGTGTAAACTGCAAACAGTTCATCTAGACTCTGGTGGTTCTCAACCTTCCTAATGCTGCAACCCTTTAATACAGTTCCTCATGTTGTGGTGACCATACAATTGCTTCCTTTGCTACTTGCTAACTGTCATTTTGCTACTGTTATGAATCGGGCAACCCCTGAGAAAGGGTCATTCAACCCCCAAAGGGGTCATGACCCACAGGTTGAGAACCACTGATTTAGAGCACCGATGAACCTTTAACAAGCAGCGAGCTCAAATGAATGGTGATGAAATAGAATGGAGAAATAGAATGGTGACACAATGTGAAGTTTATAACCGAGGCTACTGAACTGTTCATGTAGAAATTGTGATGGATGTGCTTTTGACTATGTATATTGCTAGCACAAAAATTTTCAATATTATTTTTAAAGAGATAAGTTTAAGACATACCATATACAGATAGGGCTTTGTTAATATAACAAAGAGCTCTATTCCCAAATGGGATTCGGATTTACAACACATATTTTTGGAAGACACAATTCAGTCAGTGACACTGGCTGACAGTTTTTATCAAAAGAACTTCCTTTCCATAATGGGAGCTTGATGGAGCCCTGATGGCATTGTGGTCTGCGATCCACAGGTCTAAAGTTTGAAACCACCAGTCACTCCTCTGGAGATAGAAGGGCCTTTCTACTCTCATGAACAGTTAGTCTCAGAAACTCACAGGGGCAAGTTCTACCGTGTATGACTGCTATGAGTTGACATCAACTGGATGGATAGCAGTGAGTCTGGGTTTGTTTTGTTTTGTTTTTACCATTTCATGGGAGCAAGTACTTTGGATATGTTCTCAGGAGAGACCAGTCTCTGAACAGGACATTATGTTTGGTAAACTGGAAGGGCAGTGGTAAAGAGAAGTCCCTTGACAAGATGGCTACAATGATGGGTTCGAACACGATTGTGAGAATGGCTCAGGACTGTTTTGTTCTGTGGCTCATAGGGTCGCTGTGAGTCAGAACCAACTTGATGGCACCTAACAACCACAACAACAACAATGGGAAAGTGATAACCTAGGGAACTGGATGAAAATCCTAGAGCAGCGGTTCTAACCTGTGGGGATCGAACGACCCTTTCACAGGGGTCGCCCGATTCATAACAGCAAAATTACAGTTATGAAGTAGCAATGAAAATAGTTTTATGGTTGGGGTCACTAAAACATGAGGAACTGTATCAAAGGGGGGTTGTGGCATTAGAAAGGTTGAGAGCCACTGCTCTAGATAATAGAGCACAAAGAGCCACTGCATAGAGGTTCGTTTCAGGGCAGGCTAGGGAGAGTCAACACGTTTCAAAGTGGGTTTGAAGTGGGGCAGAACTAGCTGTACTAAGAATCATCCTGTTATTTTGCTTAAGAGTGAAATGTTTTCTTTTAGTTCTCTTGAGTTCCTCTAATTCACCCAGCAGTTCACATAACAAAGTTGTCATTGGTCATCTGGCAAAATTTTTACTAGTGCACGTGTTTTTACTACTTCTCCCTTTTCTGTTTCTTCTAGGCAGCGATCATTAGTAGAGTCCAGTGTAGGATTGTGGCTTTGGATCTTCGAAGTCATGGTGAGTGACTCAATGACATTCCATATTCCAGGGTGACCCCAAAATAACGCAGGATGCTTCCTTTGGGATTTGGGGAAAATCCTAGCTTCCAACCTTTAGAAATGTTAAATATTTACTAGATATGTTTTGCTGGTGGGTTGATTTAGCTAAAAATATCATTTAAGCCAAATTCTGGTGATTGTAATGTATGTCATGTGGGTTCATCTTGTCTAGGCTTCTGTGATTGTTCTCCTTTGTGGTGGTTTCACAAGTGGCTGTAATCAAGTTGTGTTTGTAAGGTGGAAATTCTTGCTAAATAGCCCATCAGATGAGATTATGAAGTCTCCGTTTCCTTGTCTAAAAATTAGACCTTTCAAGAAGATATTCTTTTATAATTCTGCCCATAGGAATTTAATTTTTAAGGTATTTTCTTTTCAGGTGAAACAAAGGTCAAGAATCCTGAAGACCTATCTGCAGAAACAATGGCAAAGTAAGTAGTAGCCTGGCATTGCTTCTCCATTGCCTGACTCCTGTTACGATTATAAATAGAATGAATGTCGCTTTCATCAAAGCACAGAAGAAAGTTCTTACACTTCTCTCTTCTCTTCTTTTGATTTCTCCCTACTATTTAATCTTGAAAGAAATGCCCATTCTTTTAATGTGTCCGACATGAGGGTCAGCTCATAAAGCATTTGAACATCCTTCGAGGTACAGTTTAGTTTGTGCTGGAATATGAAATGTTTTCTTCTATTGGTGGAGCTGAATAGAATCTGGAATTCTATTGTAGCTCCATGCTTGGGAAACTAGTTGTTCACATCCTTTGTCCAATTACATAGAAAGATGGAAACAGACTATATTTAAAAATCACTAAGGACTCTTTTCCCTGGGCCTCAAAGTAAAAATTCAGTATAGCCTATACATTGGTTTCCAAACCTGGTGTCCAGCCAAAGAATTACCTGAGTACCTATGAAAATGCAGATGGCTTGGCCCTAGCTCAGAGCTACTGAACTAGTACCAGGGACATCTGGGCATCTCTATTTCCAACAAGTTCTACAAAGGAATTTGATGTAGGCAGTCTAGTGATTGGTCTTGGGGAGCCAGTGATCTATAACGTAATCAGAAATCATCTAACTTCCCTGCTGTAATCCAATCTCTCAAAGACATGCTCTCTCAGGTATTTCATACATGCTTTCTTAGGTATATAGCCAATTTAGGCTAAAAAACAGACAAAAACCCAAACACCCAGCTCTCTTTTACCCTAGCAGCTTTGATCCAAAGGTAAGCTGTTTTTCCTTCCGAGCCTAAACTCATGGCCATAATCTTATTATCATTGTAGGTGCCATTTGTGTGCTTTCTCTGCCAGACTTTATTAAATGTAAAGTAAGTATTAAGTTTAAATAATTAACTTAATTCATTGAAATTACTTGCCATTAATACAATTATTATCATATAAATATTATCTCTTTCTTAAAAGAAGAGGTAATTGGCTCAGATAGGTTGAGTAACTTGTATGGTTAGTAGGCTGGAATTGTAATCCTTAATTATAGGGGTTGCCAAAGAGAGAGAAGTAACCATGTAGATGCCTGTGTGCCAGTCCACACAATGAATATGCCTGAGAGACCATGAAAAGGATCCTAGCGTCTGCTCCCCAGTTGGGTATAGTTCCTCGTGCCTGTGTAACGTGAGCCATAGAGTCTGGAAAGGTCAAGCATTCTTGTCCTGTCTGTGGTAAGACTTAGCAGTGGTGTTTAAGGACTTAAATGCTCTCTCTACTGTTGACAAAAGAGTGAAATATATTATCTAAGTGGCCAGACAGCCAAACAAATGGATGGTGATACCTTGGTTGACATTCTAGAGGAAGAAATTGAGGAATTAATTAAAGACCTCCAGGAAATATTGGCTAGTGTGGGTTCACTCAGGAGAGGAAAACCACACAGTATTTTGAGCAGGGAAAGTCTAATAGAAGGAATAATGAACTATGAACCGGAATTGAAGTCATGAAAGACTGACTGGTGAGTAGAAAGGACTCTGACATATGTATGAATAGCTGATCCAAGCAACAGTCACCACCCCTTGGACTAAGATAGCACGCTCCAGGGACATCACACACACCCTCCCCTCCCAGGCAGGACTGAAGATAGACCTTGTTGGAGAGGCCCTGACTGGCCCTTTGAGGGCAAGGGAGTCACTGTGATGCCACATTAGTTGGCCTTGCTGGAAATTGGCCCTCTGGAACCTGCCCAGCCAAATCTCAGATGCAGGGGAGTATGGAGTGCCTCAGGACCTGGGTGATGGAGAAGTCTACACTGTCCGGGCTTGCTAAGGGAACACCCACAAAACAAAATGAAACAGCGGGACTGAATTAGACATGGAGAAGTTGTTGAATTGGAGAATGTTTGTTGTGTATATTTTTGCTATGATAAAAAAATTACACTATTAATAAGTACAAGGAAGAAGCAAATGTTCTAAAATCGATTATGGTAATGATTGTTCAACTCTTCTTGCTATGGTTGAACTGTTGAATTGTATGTTATGTGGATGAAAGTTGATTCCAGGGAGCTTTCTTTCTTCTAGCAGTCTGTCTCTCCAACTCCCTCCTGACATCGTTTGGTTTCTTGCTAGTTGGCAAAGGAAAACTACTACTTAGAGGTTCAGATCTATTGTTGCAGTTCAGCAATGAGGAATAAATTGGAGCTGAGACACAGTAAGTTTATGATTGGCCGAAAAAGTTAAAAGGCATAAGTGACAATTATTCACAGTAGATGATGATTAAGCACACGAAGGACCAGCAAGTTGGAGTCTTGTTGAAATTACCTGAGTATAAAACATGGGAATATCTGAATTCACTCACACCAAATCAAAAATTTTAAATGGACAGGCCTAATTGGTGATAAAGAATTTATGCATTTGGATTATAATGCTGGCAAAGATACAGAAAGTACCATGGACTGCCAAAAGAACGAACGGACAAATACGTCTTGGGAGAAGTATAGCCAGATGCTCCTGAGGGGCAAGGATGGCGAGACTTCAGCTCAAGTACTTTGGCCAAGTTGTAAGGAGAGATCAGCCCTGAAAAGGACATCATGCATGGTAAAGCAGAGGGACACTGATAAAGAGGAAGATGAAGACCTTTGGCAAATGGATTGGCAAAGTGTCTGCCACATGGACTAAACATAAAAACAGTTGTGAGGATGGCCCAGAACCTGGCAGCGCTTCGCTCTTTGAACACAGGGCCACTGAGTGGGAACCGACTCAATGTCATGTGAGCGATTAGTGATATTTTCAAGTGATCTTGACCACGCGGTTTTTGCTCTACATGTTAAAACTTTCAGATTTCTGTAGAAGATAAAAGTGGAAAAGCCAGCATTTGAACTTGGTTCATTCTGTGTTTACCTTATGTCTGTATTATGCTTTCTAAGTAATGAGCTAAGTATTACAATAAATATGACAATACCCTTAGAATGTATTTTCTAAACTTGCGATACATCCAGTTACAGACTAGACTTGTAGATAACCGCTGCTGCTTTTTCTTTATTTCTCTGGAAGTTTCATATTTCAAGAAATGCACTAATTTTTACGACTGAATACTTGCACTGATTTTTATAAGAGTAAATTTCTCCTGGTGGTAGATGAGGAGCTCTGGTGGCAAGGTTGGGTGAGTGTTGGGCTATTTATACCACAAGATTGGCAGTACAAACCCACCATCCACTCCAAGGGAGAAAGATGAGGCTATCTGTTCCTAAAAAAGACTTACACCTTCAGAAAGCCTATCTCAGGTTGCTATGAGCTGGAATCCACACGATCTGTGTATTTGGGGTGTTTTTTGTTGTTTGTTTGTTTTTTTTGCTTGGTGGTAGACAGTCAAGTGACTGATCACATATATTCCTTACCTAAGCTCAGACATGCTATTATGTTGGTTTGCTTCAGAACCTGCCTACCATCATACATGAAGGGGATATAATGGAACTCCCTCCAACACAGTTAACAAAGATTTTAAAGAGCCTTGGTGCTGTAGGTATTACTCATTGGGTTGCTAACTGCAAGGTCCACAGTTCAAAACCACCAGCCCCTCCTTGTAGAAAGACAGGGCTTTCTCTCCCTTAAAGAATCAGTCTTGGAACCTCACATGGACAGTTCTACCCTGTCCCGTAAGGACATGATGAGTCGGCATCAACTCTATGGCAGTGAGTTTTCTGAGACTTAAATAATCTTCCACAGCACCATTTTATCTTACCAAACGAAAGTTTGTTGAAATTGTTCAAGAATTATTCTAGAAATTATACATTGATATTTAACATAAACATGTTCTGAACTTGTCTTTTTTCTTTTAGTCTGCCCAATTTCTTCTTTTTTTAAATCATTTTATTGGGGCTCGTACAACTCATCACCACCCATCCATCCATTGTGTCAAATACAATTTTGCCATCATCATTCTCAAAACATTTTCTTTATACTTGAGCCCTTGGTATCAGCTTCTCGATTTTTCTCCCTCCCTCTCCCCCTTGTTTAAAATCACATCAAACATGCTTTTAGAGTAATTGAACCTGTAATTTTTTTGGTGTATCATTTTTATATTCAGAATTAACTTTGGAATGCTACTTGTTTTTGTTTTTCAGGCACTCCATATGGTTTTCCTCTTTGCTACTTATTTCAAAGAACCGTTGGTTTTCTAGTTTTTGCTTTTGGTGTTTTTCAGTCATCTCTGGACAAAGACATCTACGTTATGGCTTTATGGAGCTGCCTGGAATCCACAGTGCTGAGTCTCTGGGAAATAGCTTTAGGCACACTTTGATAAGGTAGCAGGAATCTGCAGTGTTTCTTAGCTGGATAGAGATTAAGTAATATTCCGAGAGGTCTAGTGAGTGTAATGAATGTGGCTAAGCCATGTAGTTGGTAAATGTTTCCTCATTGTAAAACAGTAACGTCCAAGGATCACAGTAGATGATGATAAATGAAAGCTGATCATATAGCACATGATCATACAGAAAGAAACTCACTGCCCTCAAATCAATTCTGACTCATGGCAATTCTACAAGAGAGAGTAGCAGGATTTCATGGGGTTCCAAGGCTGTAAATCTGTGTAGAAGCAGAAAGCCTCATCTCTCTTCCTGTCAGTAGCTGGTGGATTCCAGCTGCTTCCTTTGCAGTTATCAGCCCAGTGCTTAACCCATTGCACTGTCAGTGTGCCTTGTTGCCCACAATAAATTAGTTTTCTCTTCTTGGATATCATCTTGTTTTCCAGAGAATTTTGTATGAAGCAACACTGGTGCAAAGAAACTTGGGCTTATTTTTATCTTAACTAATGTCTTCAGATGCCTCCTACTCTGCTTTACTTTTTGCCTTTGCCTTAAATTTAACTTCAAAGAATTTTAAACAATTATTTGTTTTTACTTATAAAATTGGGTAGCCTCTTTATCTCCCATTCAGTCTGTCTGCAGATGCTGTGTAACTGCTCTGTGCATACTTGAAACTGTTGTGTGAGATTTTCAAAATGACTTCTGTCTTTGCCATCATGAATGTTGTGGAGATCATATTTGACAGGCTTTGCCCTACATCCAAACCTGCTATCTTTGATTCACACGATGAGCGTGTGAGGTATGTAGAGCTGCTCATCAAGATAAAACTGTTGTTTGAACTTGACTGGGTTGGCCTCTTCCAAAAGGTGGCCAGGGTCTCTTACTGTTCTCATTCTACCCATTGCTGTAGCAAAGAAGGCCTCTATTACAAACAAAAACAAGTTTATACTTCAGTTCCACTTTCAGAAGCTTGGCTTTGTTAAGTTGCTTCACTCATAAGTGAAACTAGAATAGAAAGCCAACTAAAAGGAGCCCTGACACCTTTTTAATTTCTCAGAGCATTGTACTTAAATTTCTGTTCATCCTCCAAACAACTTCATGTGACAAATTCCAGTTATTTAAATTTGCAATAACACTTGACTCTTAAAAGTTATTTTATTGAGTGGAGACAACAGACAGCGCAAAACACGAAATAACAATAATATATAATCAAGGATTCACGAGGGAGGGAGGGGAAGAAAGAGGAGCTGATAGCAAGGGCTCAAGTAGAAAGAAAATGTTTTGGAAATGTTGATAGCAACATGTATGTACAAGTGTGCTTAATACAATTGAATGATGAATTGTCTCAAGATTTATAAGAGCCCCTTAATAAAATGGTTAATAATAAAGTAATTTCACATTCACCATTTTATTTCATTTAATCCTTAAACAATCCATAATCGTGAGTGATATTCTTATCTTCAGTTTATAGTTGCTTAGACTCGGTGTCTGAGAGATTAAATAACTAACCCAAGATCATCACATCATAAAAAGTAAAATTTGGACTTTGATTACATTATAATGCTTAATAAATTGGTTTCCTGTTTTATAGAAGGGGAAACTGGGGCATAAAGCAATTCACTAATTTGTCTGGTTTCAAACCTTGATTGAAAATAGTCTATCCTTATAGAATTAAACCAGGGCTTTGAAACCTGTTTTTCCTGCTTCATTCATGGCCAAGAAAGCAAAACAGGAACAGACCCAAATTTGCAAAATGTGGGTGAATCAGAAAAGTAACTAGAATGGAGAAACACACAGTTCACACCTCACTAGGAACTTACTAGAAAACAAGGACTGGGTGTGTGTGTTGCATACTAACTGTATCTCTTGACTGGCAGAGTCGGGAATAGAAGTCAGGAAAGTGACTACATCACTTGGAATGTGTGTCACTCTCCACAGGCCTAGCAATCATCCAGCCTTCCATATCAGACTCCTGGAATCAAATCTCCTGTTCCAAGGCTTCAACCCATTGCACTGATCACTTCACTGCACCTAACTTTTAAAAATGCAGGTCTGTTCCAGTTGTCAGTCCTTAACTTGCCATGTATTGGGATACCAAGGTGTATAGCTATCTGTATAGATATAGGGGGGCATGTTTGGAAGTTTGTATGTATATGTTAGGGAAGGTGTCCCAGTAGACCTTCACAGTCATATAACCTGGGAAGGGAAACCATTTTACAATATTATTAGAGAAAGAGCATTTCCAGTTTTGTTTGCTTCTTTATGCAGAGATGTCGGCAATGTGGTTGAAGCCATGTACGGGGATCTCCCTCCTCCAATTATGCTAATTGGACATAGCATGGGCGGCGCTATTGCAGTCCACACAGCGTCCTCCAACTTGGTGCCCAGCCTTCTGGGTCTGTGCATGATTGATGTTGTGGAAGGTAAGTTTTGCCAGTACTGACCAAATCAGGACCATTGACGGCCACTGTAGATTGTTAATATCTTATTGTAATTGATTGTTGATTTCATATATCTTAAAGTATTTGTCTTTTATTTCTTTTATATACATTCTTTTTTTTTTATATATACATTCTATAACCGGCTTGTTCCCATACCATTAAAGTGTTTTCATAAACCTTTTTAAATGGCTGCATAATTTTTCAATTGTATGGATGCCCCATGATTTTGTTTAATCATTTCCCTATTATTGGGACATTAAGGTTGCCTCCAGTTTTTTACACTTGTTTGTAATTGATTTCCGTTGGTGAGAAATAAACAGCAGAACACACCCCAGTAAAGTGGTTTCTGTATGTACAGTTCAGTAACATTCATGACAGTTTTTGCATTATGCATCCAGTCTCACGCTGCCTTTTCCAATTTGGCCCTCCTCTGTTAACATAAATTCACTGCCCCTGCGTTTCCTAGTTCATCATTTGAGTTGCATTTATCCATTGGATACCATTATCCCATTAGCATAGGTCTGAAAAAGAGCACAATACTGAAGGCAGACATTCTTTATTGGTTAAACTAAATGGTTGCTTGGTTTTAAGAAGACTTCAGAGAATATTTTTTATTTTTAAGGTTTAAAGATTCTTAGCAATAGTTTTCAGAGTTTTTTCATGATTTAGCCTCCATGATTCCTCAAATTCTGAACTCCGTGAGAATCTGAAATGCTGTTCTGCACTTTTCCCCTTTTATAATGAAAATCTTCAGTAAAGGCAGCCACACACATCCCGTTCTTCTGGTTTCATGGCAAAGGAGGCAGTTGACTCCTCCTTCCTCTTGCTCCCGGTGAACAGAGACCAATGGGGTGCCTTGGATGGCCACTGGAGAGCTTGTTTTGTGACCCCGGGTTCTGCACAGCAAACTAGGAGGTAGAAAAGAAATGCTAAGCATGTTGCTGGCATTGTTAATTAAGATACTCTGAAACCATGACCCAAAACCTCCAAACCAAAAGTTTGCTGTATGTAAACAGCCTTAGCAGCTACTGGCTCTTTTTTTTTCTCCCCAGTAAATAGCTCTACCATGCAAATTTACATAATTTAGCTTTTTATTGGTACATAGCAGTTACATTAATAGGCTGTGCAACTGTACCATTAATCAGTGCCATATTTTCATCACTGTAAATAAAATCAGTTCTCTGTTAATAACTATGGCTTTGTCCCTCTTTCCCATCTCTGGCAAACACTCAAACTTTGGTCTCCATATACCGATATTTGCTGGTTCTTGCTTCTGTATTCCTGAGGTCACACATTATTTGTTCTTATGTGATTGCCTTATTTTACTCAGCATAATGTCTTTAAGCTCTGCCTGTGTTGGAGCATGTGTGTAGACTCCAAGTCTCCCACTGGCTGAGTAGTAGTCCATTGTACATAGATACTACATTTTGCTTATTTGTCAATAGGCATGTAGTTTTTTCTCATCTTTGGTTTTGAATTACATTTTAATATAAATTTTATTTATAAGATTGTATATTATTGGGTTGTATTTTAGTTTCCCCCAGGATGGGTGCCCAAAAGTGGAAATACTGGGTCAGGAGACATAGGTGTTTTAGATGTGTATCTTATTTTAGATCCCAAAGTATATGGCCTTCTAGTTTAAGAGCACAAGGGCCAACTATGGATTAGTGGATTTACTACTGTGTCATGTCCAGAGAGACTGAATTTTTTTTTTTAGGGTTCAGGAAAAAGTGTAAGTTAAATATTACATCTTTAAATTACTCTAGAAGCCATTTGACAACCAGTTAAAGTAGATAAAGCTTCCTTAAGACCCTGTGTAGACTAAAGTCATGTCTAATTCAGAACACTGGAGAGGTAGCCAGACTCCACCAACGTAATCAGACATGTGCAGTTTTCTCTCTTCCTGAGATTTTATGTACAGCAAAAGCTGGAGCCTAGGTAAGGCAGAAACCTGTCAGAGAAGGAAACTGCAAAATACTGTATACTAATAGTAATAGAAAACTGGAAAGACCCAGAAAAACAAGTGAATATTTTCATAAAAGGCATAATATTAAAGTACTTGTGAATGAAGAACAGCAAGAGAAAATCGCTGTTTCAAATTTTTATAAAGGCAAAATTAGCATTCAGAAAAAGTTGTGTTCAAGGGTTTCAATCCCAAGAGAGTTCTCCTTCTAGAGTTAAATAAGAATTCATTGAACAATTAAACAAGAAATAGATGACCCGGAGGATTTAGATCTGAGAACTTTATTACCAGTTATATCAGTTTTCTATTGTCACATATCAAATTACTTCAAAATGTATTAACTTAAAGCAATAGTAAACATTCATTATCTCACATTCTCTGCGTCAGGACTCCACAAGTAGTTTATTAGCTTGGCGTTTCTGCCTTGAGGTCTTTTCATGAAGAGGTTAGCAGGACTGAGTATTCTGAAGACTCACAGAAGTGATAGGATCTTCTCCCAAGGTGAGTCACTCTGTGAGGAGCAAGGTGAGAGTGGCTTTTGCCAGGAGGCTGCAGTTCCATGTGAACCTCTCCCTCAGGTCTCTCTAGGGTCCTCATGACTGTACAACTGGCTTCCACCAGAGTAAAGATCCAAGAGACAGTACGAGCAAGCTGCCTTGTCCTCTAGGACAGTCTCAGAAGTCACAGCACTGGCTCTCCAAGGCGCTGTCGGAGGGGCAGGGCTCAGAGGAGGCCATCACCTCAGTCTTCATAGTCTTGTTTTGTTCAGCTTGCTTTTTACATTTCGGTAAAATAATTGGGAGAAAGTTGAGGCCCTCTGGAGCCAACTCAGAGCAGTGGGTTTGGGTACGGCAAATATATATAGCACCAGCATTTGTTATGGCAGCCTCTTTACATGCACAGTTCAGTGACATTCATTGCATTAACCGTGTTGTGTAACCACCACGATCTCTTTCCAATTTTTCATCACCCTTAACAGTCCCTTAAGCAATAACTCCCCCTTCCCCCTCCCACTACTGTCTTCCAAGTTTTCTTAAACTGCATGTTTTCCTCCCAAGCATCACCGAATTCTGCCGTTATGGAGGACAGTTATATAGAGATGACACAGCAATACATTATGTATTATAATTAAAGTTTTTGTGTAACATCTAGGCACAGCCATGGATGCTCTTAATAGCATGCAGAATTTCTTACGTGGTCGCCCTAAAACCTTCAAGTCTCTGGAGAACGCCATTGAATGGAGGTAACCCAAACATCTATGTCTTCTTTATTTAAATGCTAGCTTGTAGCTTTCCTTTTTTATCAATTCAAGTACCATGTTCTAAGAAATAGAAATTGTTTTTCCACATTAGCTTTTATTGTAATAGCATAAGAAGAAACATTTGTGTAATGTGAAGAAAGGCTTTTTTGAATAATTGAGATAGTTCAAACTTGGTAAGTTGTCTAACTCTAAAGCCCCTTCCTTTTTCAGTCCATTAGAAGGCCAGCCATGGTAGCACTCTTGGATTAAACATTGGGCTGCAAGCTGGAAGGGTGGTGGTTCAAGCCCATCAGTTGCTCTGTGGGAGAAAGATGCTTGCTGTTTTCTTTCTGTTCCCATAAGTTGACAGTCTCAAGCCCTATATGGTCTCGTTGAGTCAGAGGGGCCTCAGTAGCCTTGGATATGATATGTCCCTCCTAGAATTCTGGATCGTCCACAGTGAGATCTTCAACTAGGTGGTCTCCAAAGTCCTCCCCTACCTTGGATGCCATGCTCTGAGATTCATTTCCGTATTCCAGATACATTGATGAAGAAACAGAGAGAGGCCCCGTCTAGATTCTGTTCTGTAGTTTTTATCTTGGCTAAATAATTGATCTCAGAATTGAGTTTTCATAAAAATCATTGATATAATTGGCTCTGGTTTCCACTTACGTACAGGCATCCAGTCACTAGTTTATTCAGTGATCAGTCATTTTGAATTAACTTATCGAACATATTCTTTTTACTAAGGGGTAAAGATACAGAGATGAGCAAAATGCTGTTCTTTCTTGCAAAGAGGTCAGTCTTGGAATAAAATATCTACATTATTTTATCTTCCTACCTATTCTTCCAAAGTCTACTTCCTGATCTAGAACTCCTCCAATTCCCCAAATCCTCAGTTTTAGGCATCTAAGACATTCAGATCTGTGTTCTATTGTACTTTCTATCCTTTACGTCTTCCAGTTTCCCCTTGAGGAATATGCCCATGTTGTTCCTTTCATTAATGCCTGTCTTAAAGTCCTTCCTACATCGTAATGGCAGAGTCTGCTATCACCTTTTGTGCTCTTCTGCACAGCCTATAGCATACTGCTGACTGTGCTAGCTGGCAGAGTGTATCTGTTAACTGAATTCGATATACCAAGTGGAAATTTAGAGCCTGGTAAATATACCCTTGAGCATTTTCATAGGACAGAGGGTTTCTCAGGCCAGAATAAGGCTTGCCAGATGATGTTTGTTTTTGATGAGGTGGCTTCTACTGCCCCTTGTGTACGACAGAGGCACCAGATGTGTGCAGGGTGGCTGTAGCCTGTCAGAATGCAGCTGCTCTCAGATGGGCATGTGTCCTGGGCACCCTGTGTGCACCCCCAGTAACAATCAGTGAGACAATTATTCCAAATCACTACTTTTTATCTATTCAGTAATTTCTTTTTTTTTTAAAGTATTTTTTTATAAGATAGAGGTTTTTTTGTTTTAAATTATTTTATTGGGGGCTTGTGCAATTCTTATCACAATCCATACATACATGTATTGTGCCAAGCACTTATGTACATTTGCTGCCCTCATCATTCTCAAAACATTTGCCTTCCACTCTAGCCCCTGATATCAGCTGCCCATCTTCCCCCTCCCTCCCCACTCCCTCCTCCCTCATGAACCCTCCATAATTCACAAATCATTATTGTTTTGTCATAAGTTACACTGTCCGACATCTCCCCCTGCCCTCTTCTCTGCTGTCCATCCCCCAGGGAAGAGGCCATACAGAGATTCTTGTAATTGGTTCCCCCTTTCTACTCCACATTCCCTCCACCCTCCAGGCCTCGCCCCTCTCACCATTGGTCCTGAAGGAGTCATCTATCCTGGATTCCCTGTGTTTCCAGCTGC